TTCCCTCCTCGTTCGCCTCCACGGCCGGTCGATGCGGAGCCTGGGGGTGTTCTTGCCAGAGGCACTGGAGTCCCTAGGGGTGTTGTCGGTGGAGATTCTGGTTCTGGGGGTGCTGGAGCCGGAGACACGAGCACTGCGACGCCTACGCCGCGCATTGTACGTTTCTTGTCCCGTGTGCAGCGTTTAGACAGGTTGGCGAGGGAGGAGCGGGAGCGGTTTGAGAGCGCACGACAGCAGCAGCAGCAGCAGCCTCAGTCGGAGTGTCAGGAGAAAGTCGAGGAGGAGTCACTGCCGCACCAGGAGAGAGTAGAGGAGTCACGGCAGCAGCAGCAGCAGCAGCAGCACCACCACCACCACCACCACCACCAGCACCAGTCTCAGTCGGAGCGTCAGGAGAGAGTAGAGCAGGAGTCACGACTGCCACAGCGAGTGCAGTTGCAGCCACAGCAGGAGAGAGTAAAGCAGGAGTCCCGCCCGCAGCAGCAGTTGCAGTTGCAGCCACAGCAAGAGAGAGTAGAGCAGGAGTCCCACCCGCAGCAGCAGGTGCAGTTGCGGCCGCAGCAGGAGAGGGTAGAGCAGGAGTCCCGGCCGCCCCAGCAGGTGTTGTTGCAGCCACAGCGGGAGAGAGCAGAGGAGGAGCCATAGGAGCAGCAGCGGGGGCAGGTATTGCAGCAGCAGTCGCCAGAGGAGGCGGAGCAGCAGCGACTGAGAGACCTGCCCGACTCAGCACCTACACGCTTTGTTCGTGGTCCCCTACCGTCCCCTCCTGTTCCCCCTGTCGAGTCCCTTTCCTCGTCCCATTGGACTCATCGTTCTCCCCTCAGTCGTACTGTGTCCCCAGAGCCTCGCCGGTCCCGTTACCGTGCCGACGGCCCGTTTCACCTTGCTCTTCGCTCTCGTGTTCCACCTCCTCCTGTCCTTCCACAGCCTCCCGAGTCGTCCCTCACATTGTTTCACGACCCATTGTCCGACTACCTCCGTGCCTCCCGCCCGGTCGCCTCCCATGTTCGGTCCGCGTTGGTCACTCACCCGAGTGCCCCTCCACTGCCTGTCTCGGCCCTTGTCACTACTGTCAGTGCCTTTGCCTCTTCCCAACGCCTTGACTACGCCACTCACCTGGTGAGTGGCACTGTTCGTTCTCCGTCCTCTGGGGGTGCTCCTGTTTTTCCCTTGGAGGTCCTGGAGGACAGGCAGTTCGAGCTCGGTTTCCTTGCGGCCGCTGTTCCTCATCGCTGCGCCATGCTGCTTGCCCGTGAGGGGGATCCAGACGCCCTTGACATCCCGATCCCTCGCACTCACTCTGAGGCACTCTCGGGACCCTGGGCTTCATACTACATAGCAGCTGAGGAGGCAGAGATGGTATCTTATAGGTCCACAGGCACCTACGTCGGCGCCGTCCCGCCACCTGGGGCGAATGTTGCCAGTGGCATGTGGCTCTACAAGGTGAAGCGGCCGCCTGGAGCACCACCGGTGTTCAAGGCGCGCTATGTGGCGAGAGGTGTTCAGTCAGCAAGAGGGGGTAGACTTCTTCCAGACCTTCGCTCCCACCCCGAAGATGACCACTCTCCGAGTGTTGCTGCATATTTCAGCACAGCGCGACTACGAGTTGCACTCCTTGGACTTCTCCACCGCGTTACTTCAAGGAAGCTTGCACGAGCAGATCTGGCTGCGTAGTCCGCCTGGCTTCACTGGCACTTTCCCTCCTGGGACCCAGAAGCAGCTGCGTCGACCGGTCTACGGCCTGCGTCAGGCTCCCCGTGAGTGGCACGACACGCTACGTACGACTCTTGCAGCGCTTGACTTCTTTCCGTCGTCCGCCGTGGCTCGACCCCCTTCTTTGTTCTGGTCTACGTTGACGACCTGGTCTTCACCACTCCCGACGGACGTGCACTGGCCTTCGTGAAGGAGGAACTGCAGAGGAGACACACTTGCACTGACCTTGGTGAGCTGCAGCGCTACCTTGGCGTGCAGATCACCAGGGACAGGGCAGCTCGCACCATTACGCTGACCCAGTCGCATATGGTCGAGCAGATCCTCACGCACTTTCGCTTCCCGTTCTCCAAGGTACAGCCCACCCCTCTAGCTGTGGATCATGGGCTCACGGCTCCACCTTCGGACAAGCCATTTGAGTCCAGCGGTCCATATCCTGAGCTGGTGGGTTGTCTCATGTACCTGATGACCTGCACTCGCTCAGACCTTGCTTACCCTCTTAGCGTCCTTGCGCGCTTTGTTGCGCCTAGGAGACACCGCCCTTCCCACTGGTACGCGGCTAAGAGGGTGGCGAAGTATGTGGCGAGTACATCAGGCATGGGACTTGTCCTTGGAGGGAAGAAGCCAGTTACACTTACAGGTTTCTCAGACTCATCGTGGGCCGACGACGCAGAGTCACTGCGATCTACACAGGGTTACTACTTCAGCCTTGGGACCGGAGCTGTTTCGTGGAGGTCGACTCGGGCATCTTCCGTCTCCAGTTCAAGCTGTGAGGCAGAGGTGTAAGCAGCCGTGGCCGCCCAGGAGCTTCGCTGGCTGTCTTTCCTCCTCACCGACCTTGGTGAGCGGCCTCGCTCTCCCCCCAGTCTTGTTCGCTGACAACAGGTCTGCTATCCTGTTGTGCGAGGAGCCCCGACTGGTTGGGAAGGTGAAGCATATCCAGCTTCGTTACTTCCTTCTGCGAAAGTTGCAGCAGCGTGGCCAGGCACGTGTGCGACGTGTGGTCTCTAAGGCCAACACTGCAGATATCTTCACCAAGGCGTTGCCGCCTTGTGACCACCAGCGTTTCTGCACCCAGGTTGAACCCACCTTCTTCCCTGGAACGATTCCCGGTACCAATATCCCCTTCTCCGTGATCCTTAACAGAGAATGTTTGGCACTGATGCTAACGACGGCAAACGACGAAGACGAAGCAGTTGAAGAAGCAGCAGCAGAACCTTCCCCAGTACCAGAAGAAGACCCTGAAGCAGTGCGCGCACACTACATGCGCACCTCCGGACTCCGCGCCAACGACGACCTTTGGCACCAGCGCCTCGGTCACCCCTCGCGAGCAACACTGAAAAAACTGCATCGACGCAGGCGTATTCGCACCTGGCGCTCTCCTTCGCCCCGACGGCTCCGAAGTAAGGAACACGCCACAGCCGCGCAACTGCCACCGTCTGTCATTTCCTTCGTTTATACTTTGTACTCGTTTGACACCTAGTGCAATCCTCGCTATCTCGTTTCATTGCACCCGTAACAGAAGGTAACAGTAGTTGCCGCATGATACGCTGGGGCGTTGCGCATGTGCGGTGAGGAACTCTCCGCCTGCCGCGCCTCACTCAGGTAACCCTGCTTGGTTCGGGGTTGCGCAAAGCTGTGGTGTGGTTTTCCGCCCATGCCTAGCAAACGAGGATCTGATCTGCACCAGCTTTGCACCCAATTGACGGTTCGTCCCAGAAAATGAAAGGGTGGTGTACTTTGCTCATTGTTCTACAGGGCTTTGTTGGAATGGTGGGATTTGGTTCTGAGGGAACGCTCACTTGGGTCACACCAGAAGGAATGTCTAACGAAACGAGGTCGACGGTCGGTCGACGGACCGTCGACCACCGTCGACCTGACAGACGGGCAAAAAAAACTAAAACCCTATTGGATGGCATGCCATCCTAGGGAGGCATCAACCCTAAACACCATGCGACAAGATGTTTAGGGTTGATGCCTCCCTCGGATGGCATGCCATCCGATAGGGGTTTATTTTTTTTGCCCCCGGGCAGCGAGCTCCCTGGGCAGAATCGCTTGTTCGTTGAGATATATAATGAGGAAAGTTGCGCCCAACGAAACTAGGTTGCGCCACAACCGAACCGAAAATGGTCCTTCGCCCAAGGCATTGCTTCTAGCTGGTTCGCGAATCATACCCGTCAATGAACTGGTTCTATATAATAGCGTCTATATTGTGTACGACTGAAAAAACAACCTGGAAACTGGTACACAATGGAATTTAGCCGCTCCTATCCAATACAAATCTTGCAACATATGCACGGCCACCATGGCAGCGCCGTTCAGCGTGCTTGTGGAGTTTCACGGCTCTCGCATTCTCCTTTACTGCCCTTTAGACCCCTTACCCTGCTTGCTCCATCCCCCCATCCCATCCGCGTGGTTACCAAATTCGCGAGACTCGCCTAGCAACCTCGGCCGTTCGAGTCGGCAGAGCGAGAGAGTTCCACGGAGGCTCGGCCCGTCGACAGAAGCGTCGATTTTCGCTGCTCTCCGCGCGCCTTGCAACATTCGCCATGCGTGCCCGCCGATGCCGCTCGCCTCGACGCACCTCACACCACCCGCTGCTCTATTAGAGGACCCTACGACAGCAAAGGCCCTCGACGACTTGGCAAGAGAACTACGCCGAGACTGACATTGAAGACAGCAATGCAAGAAATGCGCTGATGTCGCGCGACTACTGCAGCGCCAACAAAGTCCGTGCTGGGGTGCTGTTGTCTGGGGAAGTCGTGAGCATGGTTTTTGGGAAGCGTGCCACTTCCTAGCAAGTCTGTAGTTGTCATGTATGGTGTTGCCGAGTTGGAGTTTGTGTTGGCTCGGGTGGCGTGTGAGAAGGGCCATTCCGCTGCTGAGTTGGGTCGAAATTGTACGAGGCGCGTTTAACCCACCTGCACGTCACTTTCGTGGGGTTGGGTTACCCCGCAGCGCCACACAACCTTGTGTGAACTCTCGTCTGCCTATATCTATTTTGTGTGTTTGCTTTTGTATTCATGGATCATATTACAATTCTACTTGGCCCAAATGCTACTTGGTTTCTCACTAAGTCCTTAGAGGCAAACGCTACAGAATCTACGGAGTTCCTGGCGCAACACCTTTCTCATAGCAGAAACTCACTCGCTATCACTATGCTCTCCATAGTATTCCTTCATGCTCGCCACTCCCGCATGCTGATTCCCTCGCTCCTATCCCCGCTGCTGCTGCTGCTGCTGCTGCTGCTGCTGCTGCTGCTGCTTCTGCTGCCGCAGATGTAGCTTTCCATGACCATCCACGGAACCCTTTGCAGCACTTGCTCTGGACCAGTCCGATCCTGCAGGTTCGGACCGAGCCATTCACCCAACAGACGCACCTCGTGACCATCCCGAAGCAGCCGGCTCGTGCAATTTCCTCCCCTCCGCCCTGGCGTTGCTGCATCAGCATGGCTGCCGAGCCTCAAGGTCTGGTCTGGCACACAGGCGCGAGGCTCGGTGGAGACGAAGGGTGTGCATGTGCTTGGCGGACCGGCAGACTACAGCAGGCCGACCGAAGGGGGACAAGGAGGGGCGAGGCGAGGGGAGGAGGGGGAGGAGGGAAAGCGGAAAGAGAGTGGAAGGGCTGGCGGTGCAGAGACGGAGGTGAAGGGAGGCAGAGCAGAGTCTGTGTGTGGTGGAGCGATGAGAAGGCCAAGCAACAGTGCAGGCGGGCATGAGGGCGGCAATGAGGGCGGCAATGGGAGCGGCAATGGGGGCGGCAATGGGGGCGGCAATGAGGGCGGCAATGGCGGCAGCAATGGGGGCGCCAATGGGGGCGGCAATGGGAGCAGCAATGGGGTGGATGCGAGGCAAGGGCAGGGAGAGGGGTGGTGATGGCGATGGTGTGGAGAGTGGTGGGAAGAGGCAGAGAGGGGATGGGAACGAGGGGGAGTGTAGTGCACCGTTCACCCGTACATATGGCCATGGCTCAGACAGCAAGCACATCTGTGACCATGCCCATGCCCACACCCTCACCCGTGCCCACACCTATGCCCGTGCGTCATCCTCGCCATGCCCCGGTATGTGCCTCTCCCTCCCCCTACCCTCCTCCATGCCAACCCCCCATCGCACTCTCGCTCTGCCATTCGCGCTCAGTGCCACGTTAGCAGCGTCTGACGTGGACGCCATCCTGACCTCGAACCCCGAGGGCCTTCTGGGCCTGCCTCTGCTGCTGCGCCATCACCGCCAGCACCACGCCCACCGTCCTCCCCCCAAGGTGTGCCACAGCCGCCCACCTCCCCGCAAGGTGTGCTAGGATTTGGCACAAGCACTAATAAATGCGAATCAAAGAAATGTAGAGTGCTTCATCTTCCCTAGAGAACCTGATTGTTAATCGCCTAAAAAGCTCCCCAAAATGCGGCGATGGCCTGCAGAGTCGTGCAGGATGGTCGGAATGACCTTGTACCTCCCCGAAGAAGCACCTTCCTAAGCCGCCTCTTTCTGCCTATCGTGCCTGCCTGCTGCCCCACGCCCAACCTGGTTGTTTGAGGCCAGCCGCCCACCGTGCTTGGCTTGGCAGCATCCACCGTGCTTTTCACCCCTCCTCTTCCCCCCTTCGCTCCCTCCACGCCCCCTCGCCTGTTGGCCCTGTGTGCCCCGCAGGTGGTGTCCACGGAGGCTGCTCTGCACACTGGAATTTTCCACTGTGCTTTGAATACCTCTCCCTTGCCCCCTTGCCCTTCTGCCCCTTCGCCGCACCGCCCCTCACCCGTTGGCCCCGCAGGTGGTGTGCACGGAGGCTTCTCTGCGCACTGGCAGCGTCCACTGTGCTTTGAATACCTCTCCCTTGCCCCCTTGCATTTCTGCCCCTTCGCCGCACCGCCCCTCGCCCGTTGGCCCCGCAGGTGGTGTGCACGGAGGCTGCTCTGCGCATCGCCAGGCTGGCAGCCAAGGAGAGGGCGAGACTGGTGCAGGGGAGGGGCGTGCTGGTGGAGGGTGCAGACGAGGCCCATGCACCCCTGAGGTGCGCCCTGCTGTAATGCCTGTGCCTCATGCCACACCTGCCATGCTCGCCCCACCTGCTATGCTCGCCCCACCTGCTATGCTTACTATACACCACTGCCTGCCTGCCTGCCTCCGTGTCACCTCATGCTGCACGATCATGCACTCTCACCCAGGCCCATCGCTCTGCCTTCTTATCCGCCCTCCCGTGTATCACCACAGCAACATCATCAAGCAATGCACACGCACTGCCCATGTCACCAAACTGCACGTGTGTCCTCTCACTCAACTGCATGTGTGTCCTCTCACTCAACTGCACGTTTGTCCTCTCACTCAACTGCACGTTTGCCTGCCCCTGCCACTGAGCCACATGCCTCACAGGAGGTGGTGTGCTTCGCTCGCCTCCCTGCCATCACCACCCAGTTGCTTTCACTACAAGAGCTCACCCTAAAACTCCTTGCTCTTCTCTCCACCTCTCTCCTCTTCCCCCCATCGTCCCCCTCCTTCTCTCCTGCCTCCCCCTACCTCCTCGCCTCCCTTCCCCCCATTCCCATCCTCCGTCATCCTCATCCATGCGAGCAGTGAGAGCGAGGAGGTGGCATGGCTGGCAGGTGTGCAAGGCGTGAGGTGGGGGGAGAGGGTGGGTGTGGGGCCGGGCGTCACTGCCATTGCAGCTGCCTCGGGTGGTCCTCTTGGCTCTGCCTCCTGGTCGCTCCTTCACTGCCCCCACTCGCCCTCCCACTCCACCCATGTCTCCCAACCCCACATCTCCCACCCACACACCTCTTTCCCCGCCGCACATCTCTCCTCTCAACAACCGCTGTCATCAATCTCACGCCCCTCCACTGACCTTTCCGCCGCTCCCTTCGCCTCTCAGTCCACCGCTTCAACCGCTTCCTCCTCCAACTGCTCTCACCTCGCCCTCCTCTTCTCATCGCTGCCCTACACTACTCTCGCTGCTCCACCACAGCTGGAGCCAATAAGAACTTGCCACGTGGCAGCTCTGTGTGGGCCCACGTCAGCCAGCTCTTCTGGCAGCCACACACGGACAGCAGACGGCAGGGAGGGGGGGTGGTCAAGGGTGGGGGATGCGGAGCATGGGAAAGGGCATGTGGGAAGAGCGTGGGGTGAGGGATGGAGGGGCGGTGAGGTGGGAGTGCAGGGCGGATGGAAGGGCAGAGGTGGCGGGGTGGAGAGTGAGGCTCTCCGTGAGTCACGTGAGCATGTGAGTGTGACGGCTGGGAGGGAAGGGACGGGAGGAGCTGAAGTGGCATGCAGCGATAGAGGGGGCAGTGCGAGGGAGGGGAGTGGAGGAGCGAGTGTGGGGAATGGGGTGGATGGTGCAGGGTGCAGTGCGGTGTCTGACAGCATTGAAGAAGTTGTGAATGTGATTGCAGGGCGGGTGGCACAGGGAGGGCGAGTGGTGGTGCCGTGCTCCCCGTTGGGCCCCTCCCTGGACGTCCTGCTCGCCCTGCTCTCGCCCTCCCCATCACCACCAGGCCCGCCAGCACAATCAGCAGCAGCGCCAGCACCCCGTGTGGGAGAGGGCGTGCCGGTGGTGTACCTGTCGCCGGTGGCCAAGCAGGCGCTCTCCCTCGCCTGCATCCTGCCTGAGTGGATGCACCCCCGGGTGCATGCTAGAGTGGGTGTGTTTGTGTGTGTTTGAGGATGGGTCTGGAAGTGAGTTTGTGTGTGTGTGAGGGTGTGTGTAGATGCATGTCTGTGTGTTGGTGTGTGTGGCATGTGTGTGGGTATGTGTGTGGTATGTGTGTTGGTAGTATGTGTGTGTGCACAAATACGCGTCTTCATGTGCGGGAGTGCGTGTGCATAGGAGCTCGCCTGATTCTGCCATACGTCCTTTTGCCATTCGTCCTTCTGCCATACCCCCTTCTGCCCATACTTCCGTATGCTCACACGTCCCTTTCCCACACCTGCCATCTGTGCCTTGAAACGTATCCTCTTTAGGCAGACACCTGACAGGTGTCTTATTCTCTCTCCCCTCTCTTCCTTTCCCGCTCCCTCTCTCCTCCCACCCACAGCTATTCTCAGGCCAGCCCATCCACGCCATCAGCAGCGCGCTCCTCTCCCACCCCTCCGCCAAACACAACACCAAACCAGCTTCCTCCCTTGCTGACGCACATGGTGACGCCAGCATGGGGGTGCGCATGGTGGAGCTGCCAGGAGCTGTGGTGTTCCTGCCTCCAGCCTGCGCGCCCACCATGCTGCACAGCGAGGACCGGTGGGACAAGGGAGGCCGTGGGAGGCCGAAAGCACCGAGGAGGCCGCAGGGCTGTCCGTGGAACCAGGACTTTTGGTGAGCGCCCTCTCCTCCCCCTCTGCCCTCTCCTCCCCCTCTGCCCTCTCCTCCCCCTCTGCCCTCTCCTCCCCCTCTGCCCTCTCCTCCCCCTCTGCCCTCTCCTCCCCCTCAGCCCTCTCCTCCCCCTCCGCCCTCTCCTCCCCCTCAGCACTCTCCTCCCCCTCAGCCTCTCCTCCCCCTCAGCCCTCTCCTCCCCCTCATCCCTCTCCTCTCCCTCATCCCTCTCCTCCCCCTCATCCCTCTCCTCCCCCTCATCCCTCTCCTCCCCCTCATCCCTCTCCTCCCCCTCATCCCTCTCCTCCCACTCCTCCCCCTCATCCCTCTCCTCCCCCTCATCCCTCTCCTCCCACTCCTCCCTCTCCTCCCATTCCTCCCACTCCTCCCACTCCTCCCACTCCTCCCACTCCTCGCACTCCTCCCTCTCCTCCCTCTCCTCCTTCTCCTCCCTCTCCTCCCTCTCCTCCCTCTCCTCCCACTCCTCCCACTCCTCCCACTCCTCCCTCTCCTCCCACTCCTCCCACTCCTCCCACTCCTCCCACTCCTCCCACTCCTCCCTCTCGTCCCTCTCCTCCCTCTCCTCCCACTCCTCCCACTCCTCCCACTCCTCCCACTCCTCCCACATCTCCCACTCCTCCCACTCCTCCCACTCCTCCCACATCTCCCACTCCTCCCACTCCTCCCACTCCTCCCTCTCCTCCCTCTCCTCCTTCTCCTCCCTCTCCTCCCTCTCCTCCCTCTCCTCCCTCTCCTCCCTCTCCTCCCTCTCCTCCCACTCCTCCCCCTCATCCCTCTCCTCCCCCTCATCCCTCTCCTCCCACTCCTCCCACTCCTCCCACTCTTCCCTCTCCTCCCACTCCTCCCACTCCTCCCACTCCTCCCACTCCTCCCACTCCTCCCACTCCTCCCTCTCCTCCCTCTCCTCCCACTCCTCCCACTCATCCCTCTCCTCCCACTCCTCCCTCTCCTCCCTCTCCTCCCACTCCTCCCTCTCCTCCCACTCCTCCCACTCCTCCCACTCATCCCACTCCTCCCTCTCCTCCCTCTCCTCCCTCTTCTCCTTCTCCTCAGACTCCCACCAACGAGCTCTCCTCACCACCCACCCCACCAACCCTCCTTCTTCCCCTTCATTGTTTTCACCTGGCGACCATTCCAACCTTCCAGGAACCTTCTCCACGGCCCGTGCGTTGTGTTTGCCGCCCACTCCACACTGCGCGTGGGCCCGGCAGTGGATCTGATTCACCTGTGTGGCGGCGACAGCTGTGCTCTTCTGCTGCTGCTCGAGGTACACTCATTCGCAAAACTTATGTTGCACACCTTGCTTCCTCGTCTTGCACTTGCTCTCCATGCCTCTTCGTCGTCTTGCACTCGTCATATGCTTCCTCCCTCTTCCTTCCCCGCCCAACCCTCTCGTTCCGTAGCCCTTCTTCCCTCGCAGACTCATCCCGCAGACGTGCCAATCACCATCTCGCCCTTTCAGCCACTTGCCATGCACGTCGCCACGTGCTGCCTGCTACCCTCTCACAGGTGCTGTCGTGCTCACTTGCTATGCTTTTGTCATTTGATCAACGTGATGCCACCTCCGTGAAGCCACTGCATTCATGCCCCCCTTTCTTTCCTCATCCCCCTGCCCTCTCCCCAGGCGGTCAGGCACACCACTGTCACGGGCCCTTGGTGCAGCTGCCACGGAGCACATACCTCAGGGTACTACTGCGGCAGGAGGCACGCCCATCGCAACGACTTGGGCACTCAAGGCTGTGCCTGCGGGGCATGGGGGGCACGTGGAGGATGGGGAGGGAGCAGGGGGGGATGGCAGAGGAGGCATGGCGGTGGGCGGGTCAGGCAGTGTGAAGGAGCTCATCAGCAGCATTCCACGGCTGCAGCATGTCATAGTGAGCTGCAGCATGTCATAGTGAGCCCGGTGCCCCTCTCCTTTCTTTCCGCCAATCTCCTTTCTCTGTGCCCCTCTCCCTCCTTCCTCGCCGCCCCTCCTCTTCCTCTCCGCCCCTCTTCTTCCTCTCCGCCCCTCTTCTTCCTCTCCGCCCCTCTTCTTCCTCTCCGCCCCTCTCCTTACTCACCACCCCTCTCCTTACTCACCACCCCTCTCCATACTCACCACCCCTCTCCTTACTCGCCACCGCCCCTCTCCTTTCTCTCCCCCCCTCTCATTTCTCTTCCCCCTTCTCCTTCTCCCTCCCCACCACCCCTCTCTACAGGTCCCAGAGGCCCTCCACGCCCACCTCGCAGCAGGCCTCCCGGCAGCCATCGCTGTGCACCTTCTCAGCACCGCCAGCTGCCACCATCCCCATTAAGCACCATGCGCTCATCACGCTCACTGCCATCGGTCTTGGAACCCACTGGGGCGATCCCTGGCACATATGCAGTGCTGTCTCCATTGGCTAGGGTTGGATTATGTGACCTTTCACATGGCGGATGAAGTTACGATATGCATCAAGGCTTCATTTGTAGCATGCAAGTGTTCTGAGCCGGGGGGCGTTTCTTATGTGGTGTTATCCAGTCCCTTGCTTTGCATCACACTGCCCTGCACCACCACAACGTGCCTTCAATGTTTTTGGCAGGCTTCTCTCTGAAATTCTTTACTAGGAAATCAGATGGGTAACTCACAAATACAACAGAGCCATCTAAGAAGATCACAACAACTGATCCACCCTGGCAATTTATTGCCATCCTAAGGGATTGCACCAATAACAAGCCATGGGCCGGATGATCACAGGTTAGCAACAGAGGCGGTGATACTGCCGCGCAGCATGATGCCATTCACTTTGATGGCGGAGTAGAAGGCGGTGGGATTGGAGAAAAACCCCGCATTCACCAGCGCCTTGGGCCTGTTCACTGGCTTGAACGGCACGGTGATGTTGGCGAGAGAACTGGCGGTGCAACGGTAGGTGCCAAGTGTGGTGGTGGGCTTGGGCACGCACGCAAACGTTGCCACGAGCTGGCCCGTGTTGGTGCGGTAGGAGGAGTTGGAGAATACTGGCGCTGGGGTCCTCGGCACGGCCTTCACGGTGAAGGTGAAGAGCGCCCTTTGCTGCGCTGATGTGCTGTGAATGGGTGGAGTGAGTTGCAGGGGTGAGAGGGATCAAAGGAACGGATTTGTGTCCACATTTTTGTGTACGGGGCACATTGGAGAATCGAGTTCATTTAAGGTGAGGAAAGTGTGGGAACTGGAATGAGCAACATCTGCGCAGAGGTTGTGACCATCATGTGATTAGAAGGGGAACGAGTGACTTGCACTCACATGTTAACATCCACCTTGAAGTTGGCGCTCATGTTGGTTTGTGACCTGAGCACTGACGAAGCTCGGTCTGCAGCGGGCAGACGAGGACTCACGCCACGGCCACACGCGGCAGGCAAGAGGACAAGCGGCAGGCAGAAGAGGACACGCGGCAGGCAGAAGAGGACACGCGCCGCGCAGAAGAGGACACACATGCCGCGCAGAAAGAGGACACAGTAGTGATTTTCTTAGGCAGCAGGTACAGTAAAAGCAGGCAGCGAATGGCATGCAGTAGAAGTAGAGCCAGTCTGCAACCTACGCAGGAAGACTTAAACCTCATGAAATTCAGCAGCAGCAGCAGCTGATTGGCCGCTTCAATGAAGTGCTGGTTCCTATAAAAAATCTTTAGAGTTGGAAATTTCGATTATCCAGAGCAGCTTTTAGCCAGTTTTGAAGTGGCACGAGGTGTCTGGGGTTGATGCATGTGCATGTGCATGTGCATGTGCGTGTGCATGTGCGTGTGCATGTGCGTGTTCATGTACATGTGTGCATGTGCGTAAGCTGTGCCTGTGCATGATGTAGAGGTGCATGTGATTTGCATGTGCATGTGCATGTGCATGTGCGTGTGCATGTGCATGTGCATGTGCGTGTGCATGTGCATGTGTGTGTGTGCATGCACTCACATCTGATGGGGGCATTCAGATCTACAGACTCGCCGGTACTCCCAGTGGTGCTCCCAGTGGTGCTGCTCCCAGTGGTGCTCCCGGTGCTGCCGCCACTTATGCTCGATCCGCTGTCACGGTTCGACACAAGGATGGAGCCCCCAGTGTCCCCCGCGCTCACACTGCTGCCCCCGCTGATGGAGCTGGAGCTGCTGCCAGCGTTTACAATAAGTTCGGGCTCGGGATTGTTTACAGATTCAATAAGTTCGGGCTCGGGATTGTCTACAGCTGCAATAAGTTCGGGTTCCGTGCTGCCGCCGCTCATGCTCCCGCCGCTCGTGCTGCCACTGTCGCCGCCGCTCGTGCTGCCACTGCTACCGCCGCTCGTGCTGCCGCTGACCGTTCCAGTCAGGAGGCCGTCGCTCGCATCCAGCAGCTCTCGACGCGCGCCGCCACGCGCTGCGCAGCAGAGGGAGAGCGAGAGCAGTACTGCCAAGGGAGGGGTGTGCAGAAAACAGTGCAGCGAAGCATGGGGAAAGAGTGGCGAATCATGGAGGAAACAGCGCCACGCTACGGTAGCGAAGCATGGGGGAAACAGGTATCCGCGGTCAGGAAGATTGCGGCTTTGGAAGTCGACAGGCTTGTGCGGAGAGGTGGGAAGGCAAACGGGGGAGGGGAAGTGCGGAGGCGATGGCAGGCCGTGTGGGGTTGTCGATGGCTATGATTATGCACACCCGCCCGCGCGCGGCGATGCCTCCGCGGAATGACTCGTGGGCGAGGCGAAATTCCAGGGAGACGGCGCGAGGGCGACGAGGCGCACTGGCACGGCGACGAGGCGACGACAGGGCGACGAGACGACATGACAGGCGACATGCAGGACGACGAGACAACATTCGCAACGACGAGACAACATTCGCAACGACGAGGAGACATGGCAGAACGACGGGGCGACATGGCAGAACGACGAGGCGATGGCAGGGGCGTCGTGTGACATGTCAGGGCGATACGAAAGGGCAACGAGGCGACGCGGTGGGCTCACCAGCGATGACGACGGCGAGGCGCTTAACGTCGAGCGACGGCGAGTGAGAGAGTGACGTCATCCGGGCCATTTGGAACCGCGTGACAAAACGGAGTTGCGAAGTCGAATTTGAGGCGATCCAAGGAAACGTGAATCGAGTGAATGATAATGAGTGTCTAAATGGCTGCGAAGAGAGTGAAGACAGTAGATGCGTTTGATGCTCATGTACTAGGAATGGAGGGCGCAGGTGGGTCGTGCTGCGCCATGCGAGTTCCTCCCCTTGCTTTCGCTGCGGCATTCGCGTTTCAAAAGCTCCTGGCGGTATGCGCTGCATTTTTTTCGCGAAATTATTACAGAATCTCATTGGATAATTCTACCAAACGCAGCTGGTTTCTTGCCAGCGTGGAAGCCACACGACGGAACACGACTCATCAGAGTCTGCTGCGCTCAACCCGTTTGCTCCGTTAGCGACGGCGAAATGTTTGGCGGTGCCTGCCTGCGAGCCGCATCCGAAAACCTGCTGGTCACCTGGCGCCTTGATGAAGGTGCCCGTGAGTCGCGCCGTGATTGTGCAGACATGGAGGATAACCAGCACGGTGCAGAACTTGGAGGGTGTAGCATCCTCCCTTTAGCATCATTTCCACAACCACGCACAGTTTCATTCATCAGGAGCCAATTTTGGCCCACTTTAAACAAAACAGCATTTCCATGAAGGATGTTACGAATAGTGAAATGAGAAAGGCACTGTGCACTCCCAACCGCAGCAAGTGAAGCGCACAATATCGAGACTGAATGTGAAGAGGCAGAATGACGTGAAGGGTCACGTACGTTTACGGAGGATCTGGACCGTCAGGGCAGACGGCATCAAGCAGCAGCAGTGGCAAGGATTCTACCCAAACAGTTTCGTAACTGCCTGGAGTCGCATGGTTGGATTTCGCTGTAATGGGGGAATGTACCCCTTAGAGTACAAGGCTAGAGGTCGTTTCATATTCTACTTGTACTCTTATTTATATGCATGTGTTTGCATGTTTTTATTCTATCTCAATCATTTTACATTCACTCTGAATTGAGGCCAAGGGCCCACCACCACTACTCAGTTGTGTGCGAACCTTCCCGAGGTGATCCTGGTTACGATCAACTCTTGATCTCAGCATGGTATGAGAGCGACTCGGGAATCCTTCGCACTGCCACCCCGAAATCTTCTACGATCGAAAGGTGGCGTCCGGCACAGGCTCACGTGTAAGGATGGCCGGAGGATCTGGTGGTCAAACAAATCTGACCGCTGAAGCGCAGCCCAACCCAGCTGCGACAAACGAGGAAACGACGACGATTGGAACCGCCGTCCTCGCACAACTGCTTCAGCGACTCACCAGCTTGGAGCAAGGACTCCGAACATTGCGGAATGGCGATGCGGGAACATCTCCCCAACCCTCTCAACCGGCCTCAAATGGCCACAATATCGCCCCGCACACCTTCTCCCTCAACACAAATGGCTCAACTACCAAGACTCCCTGCCCCAGCAAAGAAGCAATTCTCTCCGCACAATCAAGGTTCCTGAGCATATAAAAAATAAAGACAAGTGTGTGTTTTGACGGCAGAGACTTCTATACGTGGAGCTTCGAGCTGGAACTGCTGCTGCAAAACGCGCAGACATTTCATTATTTTGACGGGAGCTACGCGGGACCCGCTGAAGATACCGCAGACGCCAGGGCACAGTACTACAACGAGTCGTTGATGGGGTACGGTGTCCTACTACGAAATATGTCGCCGGCGGAGTATCTGAGCATACGATCGTACAAGACAACGTCTGCCCCAGCCCTCGACGCTTGGCGCCATTTGAACGATGTGTACCAACCGAAAGACTCGGTTTCGTCGAGCCGCCTGCTCCAGCAGCTACTGGAGACAAGAATGGCCCCAGGGGAGAAGGCCAACAGCTACATTAGTCGCTGTCGGAGCTTACGTGATCAAATCACGAAATTGGGAAGCAGTATTTCCAAAGAAATCTTCGTGAACATCGTGCTTCAAGGGCTCGGCCCAGAGTGGCAGACCTGCAAGGCACTTCTCCGACAGCAGGGGGTTATCTCGGAAGCCGCCCTATGCGCCGCCCTCCTCGTCGAACAGAGAGACATGGATCAGCAGCGACCAGCGCCGCGACGAGAACAGGAACGCCTTGCCTTCTACGCAGACAACACAGAAGAGCGACGGCCGCGGCACCTCTACTGCAAAGTTTGCAGAAACTTCGGGCACTTGGCAGATCGATGCAAATCCCGATCTCGCCCTCGCCATACCAATCCGAGCACCTGGTCCGGCCAACAAGACGCACGAACCGACACGCGTCAAGACCAGGGGTACCAACCCCCATCGCAGCAGCCGTCACAGCCTGCTCCCGGCCGCAACGTCATCACCAACATGACCATGACGGAAGCGAGCGGACCGCGTCGTCGCCGCGTGCGTACGCCATCACCAGAGCCAGCATGCCACCCAATCGGAGCGTTCGCGGATAACAATCCGTTCACTTCCCGCCATGATTTTAGCAGCGACGGCGATCAGGACTGGAATCTTCCAGTCCCGCTGCTTGAAAGCCCCCACGGAACCTTCGATCTTATGTGACCCCACGGCGACACTTATCGTGGAATAAGAAGAGGAGCTGTCGCGCCGCGAAGCCGAAGAACTTCGCCAAAAAGGCCTCGCCGAAGCGCGCGGGACGTTCGCGTGCGCTGCTTGGGGAGCGGAGGAGGAGAGTGCCTCAAACGAAGGGGGGTGGGGAAGCGCTAGCGGAAGGGGAGCGAGCGACAACGGAGGATGGGGTAATACCGGCGACTGTGGCGCCGCATCTAGCGGCGAAAGCAGCGGCTGGGGCACTTCTGGCGACAACTGGGGAACGTCCCGAGAAGAACAAAGGGGGGAAGCCGAAGGTGAAACAAAACCTCCTGTTGTTCCCCTCGGTCGTCCCCCGCGCCTCCCTGCACCCACGCTACCTCCCCCTGACGTTCAGCCGCACCACGATCCCTGGGACACCATCGATTGGGGCAACGAATCATCGACCCCACGCCGCACAGTTTACGGACCGGATCCCGAGCCGCGCGAACCCACCTTCTTCCCCGGAACGATTCCCGATACCAATATCCCCTTCTCCGTGATCCTCGACAGAGAATGTTTGGCGCTGATGCTAACGACGGCAAACGACGAAGACGAAGCAGTTGAAGAAGCAGCAGCAGAACCTGCCCCAGTACCAGAAGAAGACCCTGAAGCAGTGCGCGCACACTACATGCGCACCTCCGGACTCCGCGCCAACGACGACCTTTGGCACCAGCGCCTCGGTCACCCCTCGCGAGCAACACTGAAAAAACTGCGTCGACGCAGGCGTATTCGCACCTGGCGCTCTCCTTCGCCCTGACGGCTCTGAAGTAAGGAACACGCCATAGCCGCGCAACTGCCACCGTCTGTCATTTCCTTCGCTTATACTTTGTACTCGTTTGACACCTAGTGCAATCCTCGCTATCTCGTTTCATTGCACCCGTAACAGAAGGTAACAGTAGTTGCCGCATGATACGCTGGGGTGTTGCGCATGTGCGGTGAGGAACTCTCCGCCTGCCGCGCCTCACTCAGGTAACCCTGCTTGGTTCGGGGTTGCGCAAAGCTGTGGTGTGGTTTTCCGCCCATGCCTAGCAAACGAGGATCTGATCTGCACCAGCTTTGCACCCAATTGACGGTTCGTCCCAGAAAATGAAAGGGTGGTGTACTTTGCTCATTGTTCTACATGGCTTTGTTTGATACTTGGAATGGTGGGATTTGGTTCTGAGGGAACGCTCACTTGGGTCACACCAGAAGTGGCGCTGCTGGAGCTGGGGGCTGCCGCTGGAGGCCCTGGAGCTGGAGGCTCTGGAGCTGCTGGTCCTAGAGGTGCTGGAGCTGCTGGTCCCGGAGGTGCTCGTACTGGAGGTACTGGAGCTGCTGGAGCCGGTAGTACTGCAGGCACTGGAGCTGGAGACCCTGGAGCTGTAGGCACTGGAGCTGGAGGTAACGGAGGTGCTGGAGCTGCTGGTCCTAGAGGTGCTGGAGGTACTGGAGCTGCTGGTCCCGGAGGTGCTCGTACTGGAGGTACTGGAGCTGCTGGAGCTGGAGGTGCTGCAGGCGTTGGAGCTGGAGGCGCTGGAGCTGGAGGTAGCGGAGGTGCTGGAGCTGCTGGTCCTGGAGGTGCTGGAGGTGCTGGAGCCGCTGGTCCCGAAGGTGCTACTGGAGCTGCTGGAGCTGGAGACACTGGAGCTGGAGACCCTGGAACTGGAGGTGCTGGCCCTGGGGGTGCTGGTGCTGTCGGTGCTGGTTCTGGATGTCAAAGTAATAACTGCTGAATGAATTGACTAAAATAGAAAGTACAGACAAGATATATGCAAAACCTAACCCTAGTGCAAGTACAAAATAACACAAGGGAGAACACCTAGACTAGAATTATAGTTTGACACGCCCCCATAGTCTAGGTGACGGTAGTCCTGTAGAAACAACAAGAGCAAGCAACGGTCACAAGACCAGTCCACAAGAACAAGACAAATCTCATGGTGGAGCTCAAAGTCACCACACACTCCGAGAGCAAGCAAGGGGCCACAAGGCCAGTCCACATGCAGGTATATAGCAAATATAAACAGATGCAATAGTACAAGACATGCAGGACAAGGCATCTCTACGTAAGCAAGTGAGGACGGGCCCGCACAAGACCAAGCTGGGTGCAGAAACGCTGGTGGTCACAAGGCGGCAACGCCTTGGTGAAGATATCTGCAGTGTTGGCCTCAGAGACCACACGTCGTACGAATGCCTGGCCACACTGCTGCAACTCACGCAGAAGGAAGTAACGAAGCTGGAGGTGCTTCGCCTTCCCAACCAGTCGGGGCTCCTCACACAACTGGACAGCAGACCTGTTGTCGGCGAACAAGACTGGGGGAGAGCGAGGCCGCTCATCAAGGTCGGTGAGAAGGAAAGACAGCCAGCGAAGCTCCTGAGCGGCCATGGCCGCAGCATACACCTCTGCCTCACAGCTGGAACCGGCGACGGACGATGCCCGAGTCGACCGCCACGAAACAGCACCTGCCACGAGGC